GTACTATTCACGATAGTCAAGAATTGGAAAGGCCAATTTCTCGTCAATATAGAATAGATAAGTCACCGATGGTATAGACACACAAGAGACAATCTTATTCAAATAAAGGAAGGAATGACATAGTAATGAGTGCTAATTTACGAATGAACTTTTAAAGCATAATGTAAGAGAAGCTAGACATAAAATATCACATACTGTATCAACGAATTTTTATGATATTTAAAATAAGTACATCCATGGAGACACAATTTGAACTGTGGCTGCCAGGAGCCGGGAAAGGGACAGTGAGGGCAAAGAGTATATCACGCCTATAGGAGTCTTTCAGAATGACAAAATATTTCAGAACTGGATTGGGATAGTATGAGATGGTGAATGTGCTGAGTTACATTGAATTGTTCACTTTAAAATGACTAACTTTGATTATGTGCATTTCGCTTCAATAAAAAAAGAAATCAGAAAACAAGAAAATACAAAGCAAAGCCTTAGGTAAGGAAGTCCCCCAGAGTGAGGACAGTATAGCACATTAGTCCTTCACAGATCCTTTATTTTATTTATTCTTTTACATTTGTAGAGAAGGCTACAGAAAGGAGAGTAGGGGAGATAGGAGGGGAAAAGATAGGAGGGGAAAGAGGAAGGGAGATGGGAAAGAAGATAGTATTAGGAATTACAATAAGACAGGTCTTAGAGGTAGTATCTTTGTGCCAGTACTTCCCGAACCCAATGAAACCGGTGATACTGTGCCCATTTTACACACGGGAAAACGAAGATTTCAGGCTTCGGTGATCACATTTTCCCTACCACCACACCACGAACCCCACAAGATGAAAGTTACCAGCTTTCCAGTTAACTTTCGATTGCTTGAGAAAAGCAAGTTTGAATTCTCTAGGCCACTGTGTCGTTACTCAGGGAGACTGAAAATCACATTTCATCCATTTCTTTCAGCTTACTCTTTACAAAGTGATTGCTTTCTCCCAGCTACCTGAGCCTTCATTGTAAAACCAAAGTCCTCTATCATCCAGGAAAGTCAGTAGATCATGTCAGCACGCTTACCAGCAGAGCTACTGGAGACTCCTCAGACTGCTCTCTTCCTGCTTTGGTGACACTTGACTCCCACCCCCACCCCGCCCCGCCCCGCCCCACAGGCCACAAAATATGGAAAGGAATGAAGCAGCTGATCTGCGAGGTGGCTGCAGCCCAAGGTCACTAGCTGGTTCCTCTCCGGGGAGAGTTAATTTTAGTTCTCATCCTCTGCAAGCTGCTTTTTCCCACCTGAGGACGGTCAAGGCAAGAAGCCTGCTCCTCTTTTCATTTCAGAAATGTAAAAGATTCTTCCAATTCAATGGTTCCTGTGGGCTTTAAACATTTTGTTGATATACCTGCCCCACAAAAGAGATTTAGAAAGCTGAACTAAACACACGAACTATTTCCATTGTTGGGGAGGGAATCCACATTTCAGGTTGAAAAGATTCGGGATACTCAATTTAAAACAGGAGCACGGAGAGCAGATGAGGGGATGGGAAATACAGTCTCTGGAGTTAGACATCCTTACTGTCATCACCACCATGACCCTTGGTCCTTCTATCATGAGAACCTGACAGTTGCACACTCCTCACAACACGTGAGAGTGAAAATACAAAATGTAGGGGCAACAGCTAAAGTTTTAGACTGCTTTTCTATATTAGGTTATGAGAAATTTTCCAGTTCCCTCAAACCTTGAGGGGAAACAGAAGCTGAAATAAATAAACAATAACGATAATTCAACCTTTTAAAAGTTGACTTGAAAAACAGGACAAGCCACGCCGTAAGCATGTGCTAGAATAGAACACTGACATTTTGTTTTCAGTGTGGCCCGTTAACAGTTTTTTGGCTAATGCTTCTCTTGTCTGCGACAGTCTCTTCATCTAATATGACTTTAACACTCCTCTCACTAAAAAGGTGGACCCTTAAGATTCCTCTTCTTGAAAGAGTCAGGCTTGTACTCATCTGGAACCCAAAACAAGGTGATGGAAGTGATGAGGCAATGACTATGAGCTCCAGTCGTAAATCAATGTTCCTCCCACCTTATCAGCAGGAACAGTCACGTGGGGGCCATGTCAGCAGTCCATCTGCCTTGAGGCCTCCAGGCTGGGAGCAAGGCCACGAGTTGTCCTTGAAAAGAGATCCCAGGAAATTCCACTATTCAGATTTACCTCTTAGGAACCTTTTTTTCTTCTCCTTATTCTCAATAAAATCTCTCCTAACTTCAGAAAAAGACTCCATAGGGAAACCCTGGGACTACACAAAGAAAGTAATGCCCGGAAAGCCCTTACTGCTCCAGCCTCTTGTATTTCCAATGTCAGCTGCCATCTGACTCCAACTGCATGAAGAGACCTCACAGAGCAATCACACGGCTGAGTCCTTCCCAAACTCCCGACCTACTGAAGAAGGAAGGATTGAAAAGGAGACTGCTATTGTGAGGTCGCCATGTTTTTCAAGTAGGTTCTCATACAGCACTGAATAACCAAGACAAATCCCAACATATACACTGGATCACTTCGTAAACAGAAAATCCCACTCTTGGAGCCTACTCTCAATTTGTCACTACCTACATTTTTATTACAGTTAACACTGCAGCCTTTCTATATAACTACCCAAACTTTTCTAGAATCTTATACACAAACATCTCACACACACACACACACACACACACACACACACACACATACACGCACACACACACGTTTAACACTGTCAGAGAAAAGGTTCTTTCCTCTTGAAAATTTTTATTTTATCCTTCACTCTACACATGTTCTTCCAAAAACGACTCTAGAAATCTTCAATCCTAAAGGTGATCAGTGACATCACAGTGTCAAAACCCAATTGTTTTAATCCTAATTCTTGCTAACAGGGCTTCCAGTCCAGCAATGGCTCACCTGGGATGAATCACTCTCTCTGGACAACTGTTCTGCCGCATTTCTTTACTGGGTAGGGATTTAAGCTGCATAACTCTAAAACATTGGCAGAGTCTTACCTACAGGGCAGTAAAATTGTTACCAGTTTTTCTATATTTTGAAGTTGCACCAGTCAATACAGTGCCACTGGTCAAATGTTGTTTTGTTTTTTGCTTGTTTATTTGTTTGCATTTGCACTTGAAATATCTAATGTAAAACAGCACAAGAATTAATTCATACCCTGAATGCCTACCGCAGCTGTAAAAGGCCTGAAAATATTTAGGACTCACTTAAGGTCAGAATTGCTCTCTGTTCTAAATATGGAGAGATAAACTAAGCATTTCAAGATAAAGTCAGGAAAGTCCAGACTCCAGGGTCTAGATATTTCCAATTTCAAGTGTGGGGAAATTTATAAAAGAAGAAATATAAAAGGAATTAGATTTCCATTAAGTATTTTTTTAAAAAACCTTGCAATTCAAGATATCTAAATTTGAATGGTGCTCCAGTAGAGACACAATGGCTTTATTTTTAGAAGAGGATAGAGGGACAAATAGAAAAAATTTATTTTGTGGAGGAGAACAAGACTAACGCAAGATAACGAGCACCAATAGGTGAGAGCAAGTCCAATCAGGTCCTTTGGAGATGTGGGATGAGGCAGGACCCATTGTAGGATGTCTATTATCCTAGGATCTGCTGCCATCCAAAACCTTTTTAAAAATCAAATGCACAGCAATCATACCACTTAATATAGAAAAAATTCTTCTTTAAGTGTGAGTTTCATATTTATTAAAATATTTAACAAGCAGTTCCTCAGCTCACTTGTTTGTTTCTTTCTTTCTGAATCAAATGTTTATATTTACTAAACATATGATTCTTCTTGGGAACCATTTATAGTACAGCTGATGAAAAGTGAGTGAGTTAAGAATAATACAACTATTATACAGTGAAAGAGAATAATCTAAAAAGATATAATGAAAACACAGTGAAAAGCAGGTGGTAAGTCTATAGTGATTTAAGGTCCTAAAATTATTTAGCACCCTTCAACTCTGCATTGCCTAGGAAGACAAGGATTATGAGACATCCTTAGAGTGTAGTAAAATATAGTGTACTCAACTAAAAATAGGTAGGAACATTCAGTAATAAATCTACTTTTTGGATATCATTGTGTCATCATTAAACAGTGACCATTTGGTAAGTGTCGGATTATGCGATTCTTTTCCTCCCCTTGGAGAAAGGCCAGGAGAAAATCAACCACAGGCACTGCCAGAAGATAATGAAACACCTGAGATGACAGGCAGCTGCGTAAAGAATAAGTCACTATTCTAAATGCCTGGAATGGAGTCCACCTACCGGAAGGAACAGTGAAGTTGCTAGGTTGCATCATCACTGTAAAATGACTTTCTGTGCCTCAAAGGAAGAAAGGATAGGTAATATAAAATCTGTTAAATAAAACAGCAATGAGAAAATTGCAATTTGATTAGGAGTCAGAAAAGAATAGATTCTCATTTTTACTAGAAATCTGGTATTGGCACAAAGCATTGGTTTTTTTAATAAAATAAATAACCTACATAAAGATATATCTGATTCCCATTTTGGCTTTTCATGAAAGGTTGCAAAACAGAACACTAAGGGAACGTTGGATAATTTATTTATATCGTCTCCACAGATAGTTGCCCCCCACATGGCGAATTCTAGCTGCAAAGGAGCACAGCTGTGACTTTTTATGTCCGTGAGATCCTTAGCAAAACTTTCAGAGAACATTCTTCCTCAAAGAAGTACAACAACAGTATACAGTGATTCCTAAATGCAAGCAGTACTTCCACATAAAATAAGTAGAAAATCTAGCAAAAGATACACTGCCCAAGTCAACAGTGGAATTAGTAAATCAGAACCCAGAAAATCCTGGGCCACTCTGCTTGTTGCTCCACTGTATCAAGAAAACTGTCTGTGAGTAAATTTTGAGGGGCTCCAGATGGGGTACTGGCTGGTGCTAAGAGATTCATTCTGCAGACTGAAAGCTCTAGGACCCCACCCTTAGCAACTCTTCTCCACTGGCCGCAGAGTACTCACCAAGCAGCTCTGGACCAACAGCGCGTGATGCTCACTGTCTACTTCGCCAAACTCCCAGGACAGTCCCTGTAAACCGAGCAGGCACAAAGGAGAAAAAAACAGCATCAAGACTCAGAGTTCTCATGCAGAGAAACAGCCTTTGCACTTCAAAATCAGAGCCTATAGTACATTTTTCAAATACATCAGAAAGCCACATTAAACAAAAACAGGAGCCTAGTTTTAGGTAACAGTCATATAGTCATCAAATCAGAAATATTTACCACTACACCCAGGCAAGAGGGTAATAATCCTCTCTGCATTGCTGCTGATCTCCTACTTAACCTCTTAATCTAGCAAAATAATTAAGCAGCAACTGAACATCAATACTATTTTAAATCTTCTTGAAGTAAATATAATCGTCTTCTCCTGATTAATAGTAAAATGTCCTTTGATGAACTATAATTGCAAGAAATCTTTCAAATGTCCTTAGATGAACTGTAACAGGAAAAAAAATCTTTCTTACAAGCACAGTGCTGAGAAGAAAGGTTTCCAATGAAATTGCATCTATATACAAAAAGTCTTTATTTGTGTGTGTCGGTTTTTCTGTATTTTCTTGTTAATATACTGATCACATTGATTCTGAGTTTGACATTTGATTTCTGGTCTAGCTGCAGTTTAGATTTTAAGATCTTCCCAAGTTGTAGCAGGAAGAAAAAGTTTCAGGTACTAGAAGAAGTATATAGAGGTAAATGCAAGCCCATTCACACTTGGAAAGAAGGTAGAGCCATAAAAATTAGCAATCAATACCTACGAAAATGATGTTTTAAAAAGTGAACTTGGCCTTTGTGAATGTCTTCATCTACATGTGAAATGTCCCTGGCAGTGTATCCATTTATAGAAGGCAAGACCGTGCCCCGAAAAAAAAAGGGGAAAATCTGAATGTAAATGGACAGTCATAAAAACAAATTCTCAGGCCATAATGTTAACTTTTTAAAAAAATACAGTAATGTAATAACACGGGTACCACGACCCCACTGTGCTACAATAAATCTCACAATCTGAATTTAAACACACAGACATAAACATTGCTATCTATATGCAAATAACCTATCTAGATGGGTAACAAGAAACTAGACTCTGGAGGTCCCTAAGGAATTGGAATTCAAGGGAAGTTAAAAAGGAGAGGGAGAGGTTTTGATTTGAATCTAACCTTTAATCGTTGTGCAATATTTCAATGTGAAACATATTGCTTTTAAAAGTGAAACTGGAAAATAAATTCAATTCCTCCCAAACTCCCCATAGAAAAAAATTAAAAATACCATTTTAAATACAGCAAACAGAATTAGAAAATATACAGTGACTATACTGGTTTAGTAAATGTTTTACTATAGTCTGAACTCTAAGCAAAACTTGCATCATTACAAGTAATCCATATTAAAAACTCTAAAATGTAGATGCTACGATTATGTTCATTTTACAGGCAATGAATCTGAAAAGTTGGAGGAATGTTTAAGAATCACACAGAGCTAGCATGCAGACTGGTGCTCAGCCCCTATGGTAGTGCCTGCTCCATGGTATCTGCCATATTTTCTATACTGCATTGATATTTGTGATAAGATATGAATAGCTGGAGATGTAGCTCTATGGTATAGTGTGCCTGCCTGTAATTAGATATGAATACAAGAATGTAAATGCTATGAGGACAGAGATCATGTTTACACTGAAAACCAGCATGTATAGCTTGAGCACCTACTACAGTGCCTGGCACTTACTTGGTGCTCAGTAAATCCTTTAATGGATGTATTAGTGTTTGCAAGAAAACAGATTTAATGCTGGACTCCAAAACTCACAAAAGCAGTCAGCAATATTTGCCTACAGAATCAAATGTGAAAGACTGCAAGAGATTGCAACCTGCTAGAGATAAAAGGAATCCAGCCAAAGGCCTAGATCCCACTAGAGCCCATGGTAATGACCCGCATGAGTCCATATCAGGAGGCTGAGGAGTCTGTGATGGAAGACTGGAGGGGGCATGTTGGAAAGTCCAAGGGCCAGCGCTGAGGGCTAGAGTCTGCACCCACAGACTGAAAAGCTGATGCTGGAAGTTGCAGAATGTGCCCCAGAATCAGGAGACAACAGCCAAGGTGAAAGCCAAGACCAGAGCTCCCAGCTATGTGTCTATGCCTAAGGCCAGGAGATGGTACTCAAGGCACAGGTGAAGACCAGAATAACAGCCATTGTTGGCAAAGGAGGAGCCCAGCCCCAGAAAACAGCCTCAGCCTCTCTGAGGGAAATCAGCATAAAACCCTCTCCCCCTGTTCTCATTTTATACCATTCAAAAGAAAGACACTAACTCCATTTAGGAGAGCATTCCCATTCAAGTTAACCATCAATTAACCAACTACCATAATGGATCCATAATTAATAATTAATCATTATTAATGGGGGATTGATACTTATTAATAATTAATGGGCAGTTAATAATTAATAATAACTAATTATCAGTTCTTACCTAGATCTGGGAAGCTAAATTCTTCTATGCCTTTTAGGGATATAAAACAGGCCGAATTCCAACAAAACTCACTGATTAATAACTCTGCCATTGCTTCTTATTTTGAGAAATGTATTAAATCTCGTCTCTTTGCTATCAAAGGGTTAAAGATTAAACACATATTTTTTTCTTCCTTTTTCTAATTCCCTAGTGACCACCCAGCATAAACAGCCACATTGTTCTATAAACTCTTCTAATTCTGCACATATGTAAGAAAATACAGCATCTGGGAAAACCAGTGCTGTTAATAACTCACAAAGAAGTAAAGCACTATCAGAAGTCACGGGCTATTTAGCTATGGGCATATCATAAGCTAACTACAGCAACTTACTTGTGTGTCAGTCTCATGCAAAAGAAAACCTTAACCTAACTACTTTTTCATTTAAATATTGTTAATATTAAATATCAATGCTGAGGGCTTTGAATTAGTTTTTAGTAAAGAAGAGGCCCATGTGTGTGTATGTGCATGATAGTATACGGGAGATATATCTGAGGCTGTTTATGCGCTTTGGTCTTTCAAAAGAGGAAAGATAGTTTTCCACAATATAGAAGGAAACCTAAGAGTTAAACAAAGCGCTCAATTCCTAATATCATACTGGACTTAGTGAAAATAAATGCTATTTTGCATCCAGTAAGGGTACCAAGTTCATTCAGATATCAGCTCCACAAGTGGTGCTGGAACAAGCAGGCAGCCATGAGCAAAAGAAGGCAGGACTGAGGATGCAGCTCAGGGGCAGGGTGCCTGCTTGGCAGGTGCAAGGCCCTAGGTTTGATCCCCAAGGTAGCAAATCAATCAACCAGGTGGATTCCTACCTCACACCGTATATGAAAAATTAGCTCCCAGTGGATCACAGATGTAAAAGGACAATCCTCCTCCCACCACTTATCCTGGGTTTCAGATTCCATGGTTTCAGTTACCCCTGATAACAATAAGAAGGATGAGAATGGTACAACAAGGAATTTTGAAAGAAAGACACCATATTCAAATAACTTTTGTTATGGTGCTGGTTATAATCATACTATTTTCTTATCAATTATTGTTAATCTTATAAATCATACTTTATCACAGATGTATATGTATAGGAAAAAAACAAAGTAAAAGGAAGGTTTGGTACTAGTTAGTTAGGCACCCACTGAGGGTCATACAATGTTTCCCAATGAATGAGAGCTCACTGCCAAATAAAATTCCTAAAAGTAAACATAACACTTGGCAAACCTTTGAGCCTTGGGTTAGGCAATGGTTTCTTTTATGACATCCAAAGCACAAGCAATGAAAGGAGAATATAGACACATTAGATCTCTTTAAAATCTTTTGTGCTTCAAAGACTTCTATAAAGAAAGTGCAAAGACAATCTACAGAACAGGAGACAATTTTTGCAAAACATTTATCTGATAAAAAGGCTTTTATGCATAATCTAAGACATCTTACACCTCAACAACAACCAAAAAAGACAACACAATTTAAAAATGAGCAAACGACCTGAATAGACCTTTATATTACATCCTCCCCGCCCCACCGCCGCCACAACCCACATACAGAGGATGTTCAACTAGCAGGGCAACATAAATCAAAACCACAATGAGATACTACCTTACAAACACTAGGAACACTATTATTGGAAGACAGAAGGCCACACTGCATGTGCGTATACACAATCATGGGAGCCATTTTGGGAAACAGTATCAAATAGCAGTTTTCCAAGTGGTTCAATTAGAAGTTGCCATGTGACCAATAATCTCACCCTCATAGATGTACCCAAGAGAAATAAAACATATATCCATACAAAACACTGCAAAAAAATTTCAAAACAACACTACACATACTGGCCAAATCTGAATGTCAACCAAATAATGAAATATTAACCAAAGGGGGCCTGTTCATACGAGGAAATCCTATTCAGTAATAAACGTTCTAGCACAGACACACGGGACACTGTGGGCAACAGATTAGATTGTGGCAATAGTTGCACAATGCTCTCAATATACAAAAAAACAGTAGATTGAGCATGTTTTGTGTGTGAACTATATGTCATGCAAACTGTATTTCATTAAAGCCCCTGTTCAAAAAAGCTACATTTCAGTAAATCTGCCAGTCAATACTAATTTACTTTTGAAAATGACAAACACAGCAAATATTAACATTTAAAAGAAAACTTACCCTTGCAATTTTCCATGCAATTCCATGCAATTCCATGCAATTCCCTTACCAAAGAGTGCATATAGGAGAACACCTCCAAATCATAAAAAACACCAATATCTTACTACAAACCACCACTCACAATGCCACAGTTCGACACCATCACGTTTCAGATCAACAAGGAATTTTAGACAATGGTGAAGTTTTTAAGTCAGCGTAGATAGTGTACAAAATACATAAAATATATCCTCTACAAATGTTTGGGGCATAAGGCAGCCAGACAGCATGAAAGGAATGAATTGCTCCTTCATTTTTCTTCAGTTAATGACTTCCAAAAAGGCCCTCAAATGGAACTGAAAATTAAAAAAAAAAAAAAAAATACATGGACCAAAGCCATCCTGG